GCCACATCACCATTATCCCCCACACTCACCCGTAGCACCACTACTGCAACACTCCACCATCACCACCAAACCAGTACCAACAACATTTTCGTTACAACACCGACACCAACATCCTACCCACAGCCATCACCCACACCCACACCCACACCCACACCAACACCAACACCAACACTAATACTGGAATTACCGGAGTCCTCTGCACTGATAATTATCCTACCACGAACCCCTCAAACTTCACCATCAGTATCACCATTGGGTCTGCCATTTTTCTCAGCATCATCCCCACTCCGTCATCCTCAGTAATGCCACTGCTTCCTTGTGAGCAGCAGCAGCAGCAGGATCACACCAACACCAGCATCACCAATACCAGCTTTGACATACTGTCGTCACCACCATCACCATCACCACAACCGCTACCATCACTACCAACTCAGAGTTGTTTCCTATTAATTTGAAACATTTCCTGTCTCCGGCTTCTGTGCACTCTCCCTGGGTGTCCATAAGTCAGGTAGGGCCAGAAATAGTCTCAGGTTTCCGGGCTTTGTGTGGATCTTCACACAGAGAAGTGAGGTGTGTAGGCTGAGATGCCACAGCTGAGCAGGCCCTTTGCCCACCAAGGAGGGATCCTTGTCCAGATATTTCCTCCCCAGGGCAACCAGCCCCTCCCTCCCCTACTCTGGGAGCACCGAGGGGCCCCTCCTTCCTTTCCCAGGTCCCCATTCTGGCCCAACCACTGGCCACACTCACAGATATTGCAGGTGGGACAGGCCCGCAAATGCATCATCCTCAATCACCGAGAAGGAGTTGAATGTGAAGAGGCTGGCAAGGGAGCAAGAAAGAAAATTTTCCAGAATTGCTGCCCCCTATCTGACATTTTAACCTTGACCCCCACCCTCAGCCCACCTGTGCATGGTTTCACACACACACACATACACACACACACACATGTGATTTAAGTATGTGTGTGTCTACAGATGCTTTCACAGACACACACATAACACATATGCACATAGCTCCACACGCATGTGCATGAACACCCACTCCCTTGAGCTGGTTGTCAGCTCTGCTGGGCCCCACTCACAGCAGGTGCAGGGATGGCAACCTCCGGAAGCTGCCGGCCTTCAGCTGGGTAACTCCAATCCTGACGAGTGAGCTGGGGACATGGGATTGTGGGTGAGGAGAAACCCCCTGCAGTGCTCCACTCCCGTCCCAGTCATCTGCCTGGGACCTGGCATGCCACCATGGCCCAGGTGTCTCTCCCCTACGTCTTCGCAGGGAGACAGGCATTTGCTCGCCTCACTTGGCAAGGATCCCGGTGGCTCTCAGCCCACCCCCTGGCTATCCCTCCTCCCAGGCCCCTGGTGCTGATGCTGCCCTTTGGCATTTCCCTTCGACTCCCCTTCAAATCCAGCAGCCCCCTTTTAGGCATCCCAACACCCTTTGCTGCCCATCTTCCAAGATCCTGACACCCTGTTTCCTTGGCACCCTACCCCCGACCTCTGGGGTACCAGGACTCCCATCCCCACCCTCAGGCCCCCAAGGGGCCTGACACTCACAGTGACAGCAGGGTCGGGGAGAAGCTCTCGGGCAGGTCCGGGGAGCCTTCACACAGAGCACTGTCTTTGGAGCAGGAGCAGCTCAGAGGACATTTTCCCTTTGGGGGTCTCCAGGCTGCCCCGGCCCCCACCTCAGCCAGCAGCAGCAGCAGCAGCAAAATGCCTGCCCCTCCCATGCCCCCTCACCCCTGCGGAGGCACCAGCTCCCCTCTGCCCACCCAGCTCTGCCCAGGCTTCGGCCACTACATCTCCCATGCCAGGCAACCCTCCATTCCGCCAGCTGGCACACTCTGCCCTGGCTTCTCTCTCTTCTTTCTGTTCTCTCTTTCAGTCTGTCTTTCTCCCTGTATCTCTTTGGAGCCCAATTTTCTGTTTATTTCTATTTCCCTGTCCTTCTTCCTGTCTCTCTCTCTCTTTCTGTTCTTCTGACTCAGTGAGTTAGCCTATTTCTCTGCTCTGACTCTATTTCTGTCTTTTTCTTTTTTTTCTCTCTGTGTCTGTCTCTCAGTCTGTTGGCCTTTCTCTCTGTGTGGTGTGGTGGTGATGGTGGTGGTGATGTGTGTGTGTGTGTGTGTGTGTGTGTGTGTGTCCCTCTGTCTGTCTTTATTTCTTGTCTCTCAACCCCCCTTTTCAGCTCTCTGTGTGTTTCTTCCCTCCTCCCACACTCCTTCTCCCTGGGGGTTTGGGAAAGGGACACAATGGGCACCGGGTGTGCCCCAAAAGCAGGGTAAGAATGAGGAGGGGGATCAGAGGCCATAGGAAGAGCAGCTCTGGGGAAGGGACTGGATAGCCCCATGGGAGGGGAGGGGCCACCGAGGGCTGGAGCCTCCTGGCCACTCCCAGGCAGCCCCCTCTCCCCGCCCCGCCCAGATTCCCCACTCAGGGAATGTGAGGAGGATGCCACCAGGGTGGGGACCAGTTGGCTCTGCAGGTAGGAAGGTGAGGAGAGACCACTGAGGGCTGGAGTCACCCTTGTCACTCCCAGAGGGCCCCCTCCCCAGGCTTCAGGAGGGTGCAGTGGACTCTGTTGACAAGCTTGGAGGGGCCAGTTCAGGTCCAGCTGCTCCCTCTGGTGGCCATACTTGGCAGGGCACTGCTCAGCTCAAAATTAACCCCTTGAGTGTTCACCTCCTACTGGGGGTAGGGAGTTAACCCAGGAAAAAATGATGATGATGCCACCCCCTTCTTCAGCGTTGGCTCTGCACCAGGCCCTGTCCTCTTCACAACCTTCTGAGGCTGATACTATTGCAGGGCTATCTTACAGAGGGACACGCTGAGGAGAGAAGTCCGGTAATTGGAGGTCTGGATTACCCGGAGAGGGCGGAGGCAGGACTGAGCCCAGGCGCCAGTCCCAGAGCCTCTCCACATGCTCTTGCGTTCTTTCTTTGGAGATCAGAACTCATGGATAGTGGTTATTTTTATTTGGACTAAGCTTTTAGCAATTTGGATAGATTCTGTCCATTAAATAGGGAAAAATAAATAAATGGCATTTGTTACCAAATCCCAAATAATAGTAATAATACTTACTGAGCACTTACTGTGTGCCTGTCTCTACATAAAATTACTCAGTCCTCACAACCCTGTGAGGGGTGTAATATTACTAGTTCCAGCTTTTACAGACAGGAAAACTGAGGCACGGAGGAGTTTAAATGATTTGTTTCATGGCACTGGATAGATCTAAACCTAACCACTCCCCCTGCCACTGAGTAAACACACAACCTCTCTCCTCCTGCTGCACACATCCAGAAAACGTGGGGAACAAAGGGCTAAACGCTCAGGCAGGATCACATATATCTGGATTCCAGGCTCAGTTCTGTGTGGATTTAGGCAAATAAATCATTCAGCCTCCCTGATCCTCAGTTTTCCCAAATGGGACAATCAATCATGCACCTCCTTCCCATGTGTGTAGAACATTGAGTGAGACAATAGAGGCAATGCCACTGTGCAGGGTGGGCATTGCCCAGTGGTTGGTGGGCTTGGGGTGGGCCCTGGACCTAAGTGCATACCTGCACCCAAACAGCTGTGTGATTTGAGCAAGGCCCTTGGGTCTTGGTTACCTCAGCTATAAAGGAGGGATATTAAAAGTCCTTACAGGGCCTTTAAAAAGATAAAGGACTTAGTGCCAGGGTTCAGAGGGGGCACTCACAGCATGCCCAGCCCAGCAAGGACGATAATGATGGTCACTTATTGTGTGCCAGGCTTTGTTCTAAATGTTTTACATGGATCATTTCTTCCTTTTTTCCCCCTCAAATATATTTTATTGATTTTTTACAGAGAGGAAGGGAGAGGGAGAGGTTTAGAGAGTTAGAAACATCGATGAGAGAGAAACATCGATCAGCTGCCTCCTGCACACCTCCTACTGGGGATGTGCCCACAACCAAGGTACATGCCCTTGACCGGAATCGAACCTGGGACCCTTCAGTCCACAGGCTGACACTCTGTACACTGAGCCAAACCGGTTAGGGCTACACGGATCATTTCCGATAATCATTCCAACCGCCCTGTAAGGTGAAAACTATTATTATCTCCATTTTACAGAAGAAGAAACTGAGCCACAGAGAGGTTAAGTCATGTGCCCAGCATCACACAGCTAGAAAGTGGCTGAGCCACTCTAATCTGGAGCAGTTGGCCCTAAGAGGGGAGGAAGCTAAGGATTGGCTAGAGCTGGCCAGGTGCCCCCCTCCAGGCTCACCCCCTTGCTCCCTGTCACCCCTCCCCAGTGCTGCATAAACATCAGGGTTATCATTAACCAGGAACTGCTGGTGACCCTGGGCTGCAGGCCCAGGGTGAGCAGAGGCTAAAGGCTCAGAAAGATGGGGATGAGGGAGCCTTTCGAAGCTCTGCAGGTCCTCTGAGGCTGTGTGCACACATGTATGTGTGTGCCAGGGCTATGCCGGTGCGCAGTGTGCGTATGCATACTTCCCCTGACTCTGTGTCCTGCAGAGCCTGAGGTCTGGGCCTGCTTCTGACCTTTGACTGAAAGGGGAGCAGTTCCTGCCCTTAACCACCAGGGGGACCCCCGGAGAACTACTAGTAGCTCCACTTTGCTCAGCCTAGGTTTGCTCATCTCTAAAATGGGGTTAATAATAAGACAATGTCTGGCCAGAGACTTCTGAGCTTGGCCTGAGGTTACAGTCTGACCTCAGTTATTTCTCCATTTTATAGGATGGGAAGCTGAGGAACAGAGCGGTCAGATGGACTGCTCAAGTTCACACAACCAGGAATGGCAGAGCCTAGACCTGAGCCCAGATTTCTCTGTCACCAGTGCCTTGTGAATTTGGCCTGCCTATGGGGATGCCAGCTGTGGTGTCCTCCAGGAGATCCTAGAGGCCACATGAGCTCAGGGAAGGGGAAGTTCAGGGTTAAATACGTCAACTCATGTTTGATGGTGTCAATGTGTGAACAAAAGCATGTAGGCCTATTATGTCTGTGACAATGTGGCCAGTTGTGTGCTTGTTTGCCGGTGCATGAAGTTGTGCTCACAGGTGGTGTGTGTCTGTCTCTGTGGTTATGTGTAAGAGTGGCTGCTTTTCTGGCCGTGTCCTTGACAGTGTTTCTGCTTCTCTGTGTGCCAATGTAAATGTGTGTGTGTCTGTGGGCATGTGTACACAACTTTGTGGCCTTCACATCTCTGAGAGCATATAGGAGTGCTCACTGTGTGCCTATGTCTTTGAGTGTATTTCTGTGTGGCACGTGTGCATTGGTGTGTCAGGATGTCTTCATAAGAGTGTGTATCTTGCCCTGACCGGTTTGGCTCAGTGGATAGAGCGGCAGCCTGCGGACTGAAGGGTCCCAGGTTCGATTTTGGTCAAGGGCATGTACCTTGGTTGTGGGCATATCCCCAGTGGTGGGTGTGCAGGAGGCAGCTGATTGATGTTTCTCTCTCATCGATGTTTCTAACTCTCTATCCCACTCCCTTCCTCTCTGTAAAAAATCAATAAAGTATATTTTAAAAAAAAGAAAAAAAAAGAAAGAAATAATCCCTTGCCTAGTTTAAAAAAAAAAGAGTGTATCTTTGTGACCGTTTGTAAGCGGGGCTAGGGTGGGCTGTGTCATTGATTGTGCCTATGTACAGGTATACATCTGAATGAACATGGGTGAGCACATGTGTTTGTCTTGGTGTTTTGTGACTGGTGTAAGAGGTGCTGGTTGTGTGTGCGTCTTTGGGTTTCTCTATGAGTGTGTTATTCTGTGTGTGTCTGCCTGTTTGTATGTACATACGTACATGTGTTTGTGTGCTTTTTTTGCCTGTTTATCTGGGTCTGTGGGTTTCTCTGTGTGTGCGCACAGGCACATTCCTGAGGGACTAAACAGTCAGCAGTGAACAACACATACACACACTGAAATGTCCCCCAAACAGTCCTGAGCTGCTTGCTGACCGGGGCTCCGAAGAACACTGGAGTCTGGGTCAGTGGGCTCCTCAACACTCAGGGTAGGTGGCCTTCGGCTCCATCTAAGCCCAATTCTCAGGGAACAGCACAGAAAATTATTGACACCCCTCAGTCCAGCTCAGAAGCTGTCTGAGACAGGCCTGAGGCATGTGCGTGTGTGTGCGTGTGCGTGTGCATGTGCGTGTCTGCAATCCAGCCCTCTCTGCCAGGACCTCCTTTCTCCAGCTTTCGGAAAACGTGGCTGTCTACTGTTCCTCTATCTGAGCGGAGAGAGTTAACTTAGCGGGCCAGGGCGGTCTGGGCTGGGGGCCGCCCCCTGGCCCCCCTCCAGCACCAGCTCCAGTTACAGCTGCTGGTTGGGGAGGGCATAACTGGGGTGGGGCTGGGAGGGGAGATCGCTGGGGGCGGTGCATCCAGCTCTGGGCCAGGGGGTCCAAAGTGCTTGCCCGGTCACAACCAGACTTGGGGGCCTGCTTCCAGCAGGGGACAGCCTGATTGGGGTGAGCGTCCCCTACCCCTCCCCTCCCGGCCTCACCCCTCGCCTAGCTGGGCAGCCTATTTTGGGAGCAGGAGTGGCCAGTCCCTGGCTTCCCAGGCAGGCCAAACCTAAGAGAAATGCAGTATGTTTGGGACACTGGCTTGTCCCGGGGGTGGGACTATGGGTGCCACTTCTCCCTTCCTTGCTGTTGCCCCCTGGCTGGTGTGGGTTATGGACATTTATGTGTGTACGTTGGGTTGCGTCACTGTTTGGGTGCACTGGAGGCCTAGATGAGGAGTAATATATTCCTGACTGTGTCTCCACCCCATATCCTTCTCCAACTGGAAGTGTAGGGGTACCGGACGGGTGCCGTATCCATTTCAGCCCCAGTGTGTGTGTGTGTGTGTGTGTGTGTGTGTGTGTGTGTGCACGCGCCCCTGCCCCGGCATCTGTCTTTGACCTCATGTCACTTGCCTGGTGTTGTCCGCTTGTGAAAGATGTCACCCAGAGGTGGGTGGAGGGGATATTTTCCCCTTTTCTCATTGTTCCCAGAAGAGGAGAAGGGGTGGCCTTTTCCCCAGCGGGATTGCGCCTGACCCCAAGGAGGGGAAGGAAGGCTGTTGCCATGGTGGCCTGTACGAGGCAAATTCCTCCAGAGTGAAGTGGGAGATATTTATACCCAGGGTCAGGCAGAGAGCGGCTGTCAGGGCCAGGGCAGCAGAGCTGGGATATTTCGGACACAGCACGGCCGTGGTGGGCAGATGGCCCTTGGGCATGTTCATCCCTTGCAGTGTATGTGTCTGTCCATCTGGGTGGAGGGAGGCCTCCCGCTCTCCACTGGAGTGGGTGGGGGAATCTGCGGCCTGCTGTGGGGAGGCCCAGCCTGCAGGAGATCCCCGTGGGCAGTGTGTGTTTCACCCCCGTCCTTGTGGCCATGTGACCCCATTTTGTGGGTTGATTTGGTGACACTGTGTCCTGTGAAGCAGGGGGTGCCCCTGTTACTCAAGGTGCATGCCAAATGCTTTGGGAATTAAGTCCCTCTCTGACTTAACCCCTTGGGTGCAGGACCCAATGGTGGGGGAACAAGGGTGCACATTTCCTAACTCTTGGTGTCCCCCAGGACAATGGCATCTCTCGACCACATCTTGGTTCTCTGTGTGAGTCTCCTTGCCATGGCGAGAGCAGGTGAGTCTGGGGAGGCAGCCCACTACCCACCTCAGACCTAGGGTGGCAGGAGTTGGGGAAACCCTGCTAGAGAACCAATTTGGAGACTCCAACCTAAACTGAGTCAGTTGAGGCGCTGGGAAAGTGGGGGTCTCACATGGGGTCCAGTAACAGGCTAGTATGTGGGGGAGGAGGGAGGGTGCACAGGTCAGGCAAAGGGTGGGATGGTGGCTGGCTTCCCAGGATGATGGGATCAGAGACAACCTGTAATGAGATGGGAGCGGGGACAGTGAGGTGCGCCCTACCCCACCCCCTGCAGGGCAGTGCAGAGAAGGTAGCTAAGACCCAGAGAGGGCGGGTAGCTTGCTCAGGGTCCAACTGTTCCCCAACTCTCAGCCCAGGAAGGTAGAGCCCCCAAAAGGGTCTGTTTATGCCCTTCCTTGTCCAAGGAGCCCAGGAAGCATCCAACCCCTGATTTCTCTTTCTCTTTCCAGAAGCTCCACAGGAACACGACCCATTCACCTACGGTGAGGGAGGGGAGCATCTGCCTTTGGGAATTGGGGTAGGGGGGTGGGTTTGCCTGTCTTGTCCTCATTCTCTCTCTCTCTCTCTCTCTCTCTCTCTCTCTCTCTCTCTCTCTTTCTGTGTGCCTCTGTCTCTATTTGATCCCTCTCTGTTTCTCTGCTTCTCTTCCTCCTTTTACTTCTCAGTATCTTGCGGCCCATCCTCTGCTGCTTGCTGCCCTTTCTCCTCTCCCTGTCCCCCTCATCCTCCCCACCATCCCTCCGGCTCCCTTGTTTCCTACGTCCGCCCTGCACTGTCCACCTCCTTCCCTTCCTTCACTCTCCTCTTCCTGATCCATCGCCTCCGTCCTCGCATATCTGCTCCTTTCTGATTGATCTTCTTTCTCCTCTCCTCCTACCCATCCTTCCTCCTCGCTCCCTCCTCCCCATTTTGCCCTCTCTTATCCTTCTTCCTCCCCTCCCTGCCCTCACCCTCCTCCCTGCTGCCCATAGACTATCAGTCCCTGAGGATCGGAGGCCTCGTCATCGCTGGGGTCCTCTTCATTCTGGGGATTCTCATCGTCTTCAGTGAGTACCCCCACTGCCTCCAGCCCGTCCCCGCCCTCCCACCCGCCTTCAACCCCGCCCTGTTCCTGCCCCGCCCAGGCACTGCCCCATTTTGCCCCACCCCCATCCCATCCTCACCCCGCCCGCCTGTACTCCCGCCCTCGGCCCCGCCCCGGCTCCACCCTCGCTAGGACCCCTGGAGCCAGAGCGCTCCTCGGTGCCCGCCTCGAGCGGACTCTCAGCCCTGTCTTCCCCCCGCTCCCTCCCCACAGGCAGAAAGTGCCGGTGCAAATTCAACCAGCAGCAGAGGTAAGAGGCCCTCCCAGCGCTCAGTCACCCGCTCCCGCGCTACAGGGGCTCTGAGGGCGAAGCGGAAGCCCATCCAACCCACAGCCAGAGACCCGTCTGCAAGCACCTACTAGGTGCCACGCCCCAACCCGGGTCCTGGGACCCGGCTGAGCTCCCAGCCCCGGGGGCGGCGGCTGGAGGTGCCAAGTGCTCCCCAAATACAAAGTCGGGAGCGCGGGGCGCGCTGCGAACGTGCCACGGAGGAGTGAGGTCACCGCTTGGTGGCCCAGTTTAGCTCGGTCTTGTTGCTCGCTCTTTGATTCGTCGTTAAATAAGAATGCAAAGCCCAGACAATGCGTAAGAGCAAGTACCTTCTCCATGTTAAAACAGTTACAGATGTTATTATAAATAATAGCCAAGACTCACTGGGCGTGTCCCACGTGCCAGAGGCCGTTGCGTTGTATCTTTTTCACCCTCCGCGCCACCCCTCCGCGTAGCTGCTGTGTTAACCTCGTTTTACAGAGAAAACCGAGGCACAGGAGGTAAAATCACTTGCCCGAGATCATCCAGCTGGAAGAGGCCGTCCGAGGCCGTCTGCCCTCACTCCCTTGGTCGCCCGCCCCCCGCCCACTCCCAGTCCTTCCCCGGGAGGTACTCACTGGTGCCCGCAGGAACGCCTCCCGGGGGCCCTGAATTCGGCCGGAGCCCAGCCTGCTCCGTGCCCACCGCGGCCTCAGGGCACACGGGGCTGCGGAACGAGGGCTGCCTCAGAGGGACCTGGGAGTGGCCGCGCCCTCTTCCCATTCCCAGTCCCTCTGCTTCTCTGTTCCCAGGACTGGGGAACCTGACGAAGAGGAGGGAACTTTCCGCAGCTCCATCCGCCGTGAGTGTGGGGAGACTTCGGGTGTTTGGGGGTGAGGGTTGGTTCCAAGAACCGCATTCCTGGCCCTCCCCGGGCGTGTGGAGGATGGGATTGATCTCAAACTGGAGGGCGGGGAATTTCTCTGCCGCTCCCCACTCCACAGGAACCGGGGTCCCCTCCTGACACCCGAACTCTGTGTTCCCCTCAGGTCTGTCCAGCCGCAGGCGGTAGAGACACCTGGCGCCATGGAATCCAGCCAGGTCCTGCAGCTCTAAGCTGGGCGGGGGTGGGGGGGCGCGAAGGGCTGAGGCAGGGGCTGGGGGCTCTCCTGACTCACCTGTTCATCCCCACAGGATGCCCCTGGCACCTGATGCCCCGCCCACCGCCCGCGCACCCGCTGCCACCTGGACTGCTCCACTTCCTAGCCCAGACCCCACCGACGCCTCTGCCGCCCCGACTTCCAATAAAACGTGTTTTCTCTCCTGACAGCATTTTGTGGATGTCAGTTCCTCTGCGCGGAAGCCTAGCCAGGCACCCCCTAGGACCCGGCAGGGGGCGCCTCCACCCTTGGGGAAGGGGCGGAGACCTCGGCAGTGGGCGGGGGCGGGGGCGGGGGTGGCCAGGACGGAGGCGGGCTCTCCGGGCCCCCATTGGCTACGGCCCCCCCCAACACCAGGGCTCCCCCATCTCCCCCAGACATCAGTCCATCGGTCTTCCAGCTGCCGCAGCCGTGCCTTCAGCGCTTCGGCATCCAGCCTCCCCTGCTCCAGCCCGGCATGGCGACCCCAACCCAGGCCCCCACCAAGGGTGAGCGTCGCCTGGGGAAAGGGTGCAGGGGGGCTCCGGGGTCTTAGAGCTTCGGAGAGAGGATCTGAGGAGCTATCAGTACTGGAAAAGGAGGGGAGGGAGGAAGGGGATGTCAGTTCCTCCCATGGGCGGAGGCCCCTGCAGTGCACCCCTTGGTGCCCCTCTGGGCCTCTTGGGCACCCTCTCCCAGTGGTGTCGCTCCTGTGCGAGACCTGCGGTGGGAGAGCGGCAGTCGGGGAGAAAAAGGATGCTCTGACCGGTAGCTATGGCAACGGGGTGGCTGATCCTGCACAGCACAGCATGGTAGTGGACGGCGAAGAGCTGGGCTTTTGAGGGTGGGAGCTGATGGGGTCACCTGCCCACAGAGGTTCTTCGCTCTTTTTCAGGGTCCTGGAAATTGGTACTGGGGGGGGGAAGTCA